AGCTCAGGCATCCTACAAAGTACAGGGGAAGGGCTTCACACTTGGGAATGCATATAAGGCCACAGCCCTAACTAGCTGATGGACTATGCATACGCATCCCCTAGGTGGGAACGTGCCATAGATGTATGTAGCTGTTCTCTGTTCAGCGCCATGTTACAGGAGGCAGGGAGACACCTCCCTCCAGCTGGCATCATTCTGGATCAGGTGCCTAAAAGCCATCTGTCAAACACCCTGAGGAAAGTCAATATTGCCTTTCAGAGCACCAGACCTCACCATTTAGAGCACTCTTGGAAGGAGGGAGGCTTAGGTTCAGTTCTTTCACTGGCATTCAGGGTATTTAAACATATCTTTCCAAAAGATTGTCTTGACCACTAGGCACTGAAATTCCCTGAAGGCCAAGGAGAGAGCAAAAGTGAAGGCTACCACGTGACCAGCAAGTAATCTGGCCAGGGGGCTTCATGATAAAAACCACCCTCCCACTGTTCCCCCACAGGCACGCGAGAGACTGATTCATAGACCCTGATGGGGTCTGGTGCCTGAGTCCTTTGAAGATTCATCCATTAGTAAAACTGACAAAAATGACCACACATAAGTGAGTGTCATTAGCTGCTCAGTACCCAGCTGTGGGGCACTTCTGTTAATTATACTGTGTATCTATCTACCTGCATACTGGGACAGTTCCACCCCCTTGTGTGTCTGACTCTTGAGATATCAAATTAATTTTTGAATATGGGATTTTGGATCTTCACTCATCTATAGGTACTTTTGAAAATGTTGTCAAGGGACAGTGCACTAAATAGTCTGAAACCTCAATAAGAGATAGATGATGTTTACAGTGCATGGAGGAGAAAGTCAGAGAAGAGAATTGCAGCTTTGGTGTAGTCTAAAAAACAGCCCAATGCGGATGTCTCTAGGGCTTCCATTTTTCTTAAATATGAAGAACAACATCTATAAGCCTTAGGCTGAAAAGGTGGTTTGGGAGGAAACGAAACGGAGATGCATGGAAAGTCAGGGAGCAGTGTCACACGTAACTGTGCTGTGGAAGCAAAGTGGAAGAATTTAGAAAACAAACTGCAAAGACAGAACTATCCAAATTCCTGGAAAACAATCCATATTTTAAGCACAGATTCAAATCTAGAAAAACTAAGTAATTTAATAAAAAAGAAGGAAGTGGACTTTTTTTTTCTTTATCCCTTAAATAACTGAAGAAGCACCATAACAAGGCTAAGACTCCCTGTAGAACTTAAATCAGGGGCTGTAAATAGGTGGTGTGACAGCAGTAATACACTTTATTTCACTGATTATCCTGGCACAAGTACCTTGGTCAGGTAATTAATTCATATGCTGAACACTTGACCCAAATTTTTAGGGGTAATCCACCTGGTAATCTTCTAAATACCTCCAGGCAGAAATTTGTAGCAGGGATTTCAATATCTGTTCTTCTTTAGTCGTTGGGCCATAAGCTGAAATGCTCTGGCCACACTAATCCTCATTAATAACAAAGCATTTTATACTGAGACCCACATAGACAGTGTGTGTGTTCCAGGGGAGTGCACCTGAAGTCCGTTTTCTTAACGTATTTCTTCTTCACTCCCCATAATATTCACTGCTACAGTGCTGGCATTTTTAGCTAAATCCAAGTTATTCTCTTATGCTACGTCCTTCTGTATGAAGACTACACACAGTAAATGGGATTAATCTGCTCTGCACAAGGCATGTAAAAGTTGAACATCTGGTTCTGAGCTAGACCCACTGTGAATCCTGCATGGGCAGCAGAGAAAAAATGGCATCTCCAAGGGATGATTCATCTCACTGGAAGAGCACCATGAGGTCAGTCTGATGACTCATCCCCTGGAGATGCTTATTTTTCTCTGCTGACTGCAAAGAAAGCCCAGAATGGTCAGCTCGGAGTTGGACATCTGACCTAGTTCATGACAGAGGAACACCACACAGTATTTTAAAAATACTGTAATAGTTATGTCAAATGGCCACACAGCTGCAGCATTACACTAGACTTTTGGATCCCTAATGCAGAAAAGCACTCTGTAGAATTTAATAGACCACATGCACCTGTCTTGGACATCTAGTAATCTCAAATTCTTCTTCATAAAGAAAGTGACATATTGTAACCGACTAAATAGGGCTGTGGGAAAAAAATGGAAAAGGACACATGAAAAACGTTCCTCAGATCAACTCAAATACAGGAAAATTCTTGAAAAAGGGAAGCTCATTTCACAGTCTCCACATTTAGCAATCAGGCATATACATGTGTAAAGCAAAAACATCATCCATCTGTTTCTAGCAAGTTTGCGGAGAAATTTAGTAAGACACATTAATGCTAATAATGGCCAATGTTTATGATGTTTATAAAATAACGAATGTGGAGCATCTGGAAAGCTCATAAAATTTGTTCTTATAAAATCCACAGAGTGTAACACCTTTCCCTGAGCCTGTTTTTTTTGCTGACCTTGTCCTCATCCTCCTATGCCAGACCTGTCAGAAACTCTCTTCTTCCAGGCGTTGCTGTGACTGTGGCACTCTGAAACTCATGTTTTGAAGCCAGACCTATTTCTGCTTTTGTAAGTTCAGCATTCAGCACATTACAGGAACAAACCAGATAGCCAAAACTGCAAGTCTCCACCTGAAACTACAGGGATCTCTATTTCCAAGTGACAGATGTTCTACAACAGTTGGTGACAAACGGGCTAATTTAGACTGATTTAAGTAAAGTTCAGCCTGCTGACAATGGGGGATTTTTTTAAATGCAGCTGAAGAAGGCATTTCCGAATGCTAGGGCTGGCTGTTGCACACAATACTACAGAGGCCCTGGTGTGAATTGAACAGCACGGCCATGCATGGTGCCTGCATCTCTGCTCCTCACACTGTCTTTTAGTTGCTGAGATGGAAGATGACATTGCCTAGCAAATTACCAAGGGAATTAGCTGGTCTTTAAAATTTACTCACTGAACATACATCCTCAGAAATCAAATGTCTTTGGCCCAGAATCTTTATTCCTAAATTCAAGCATCTAAGCTCTTAAATTAGAAGGACATATGCCCTGGGGTGAATTGGTCTTCTGAGATGCTGAGCTCTCCATCACATACACAGGAAGCTTCCAGGGGCTGCTCTCCTAACCCAGGCAAGTCCTTCCAAGTTTCTGCCTTCAGCCCTAACTTCTGAAGGATGACCACTGAGGGACCAGAAAAATATCGCAGAAAAGCCTTTAGGGCTTATTTTTTTATGTAAATATTAGGGGTGTGATTCAGAAATTACAATGTAAAAACTTCATTGTCCTCCATCTGGTAAATTGTCTTGGTTTTTGTTTTTAACTTGCATATGAGAGCTGGCTTCAGGCTCCACCCTTCTGAGTATCATAAAGCCTCTTGCTTGAGCAGCCATGAGTAGACATGTTAAAAACCAGCAACAATGAAATTAGTTTTCTTTCTCCTTTCTTATCTTCTTTCTTCTCCTTCTCTTTTCCAGCCTGCCTATTCCCATGGCTTACATAAATTATGGCAGCAGGCAGTGGTCCCAGTAGAGACCAGGACCCTGTTGTGGCAAGGGCTGAACAAAGATCTGTGTACTACCCTGTTATCATGAGCTTTGGCAAGCCTTTCTTTCTCTCAGCCACTTTTTTCCTCTCATTCTTGATCTTTCTTGCTTAATGGCAACTGGAAGGTGTTGGGTGCTTCCTCAAGTTTCTGTATTAACTCCTCCTAGGGAGAACTCCTCTTTTCAGAAGATATAAAAGGGAGGATAGAGGGAAAGAATTAGGGATGCAGAAGCAGTTGAGTGATGCTTAGCAATGTTCATATTACAGAATGGTCACATCGGCACATGGTCATTGGGTAACTGGAACTGCAGTTTGTGCCACTCCTGGGACAACAACTCACAGTAAAGTTAAAGCTTTTTGTGTGCATATAGAGTTTGAATTAGGGGAAACGCTCAAAATATATAAACAGGAACTAGTCTTGCAGAGAAGATAAGCTTTGGAGTAGGGGGGCTGTCTCTTCCAATGTGTATTTAGTGTCTACCGCAGTGGGGATTAATCTCATTTTGGGCCTCTAGATGCTGGGCCTCTCTTAATGTGTATACTGCCATAATACACATAACTACTTCCTTCCATTGACTGCCTTTTCGTTGCATTGTTTTGTGTAATTGACTCCCTTTTTCATCCAGAGGCCAAAGAGTGATTATTAGAGATTGCCAGCTCCAGACCTGAATTGTTTCATTCAGGAAGTTAATTAAAATCAACCCACCTCTTTAGAAAACCCTTTCGAATATAGTGTGGATGGTCCCTTCTCTTCTCTTCTCTTCTCTTCTCTTCTCTTCTCTTCTCTTCTATTATTGTTTTATGAGGGAACCTCATTAAGTTAACTTCATTGATTATATTTCTGTACTAAGGAAATAACTGCCAGCACTAAATATTTAAGGCAGTTTATCTGCCAAATTAATACTGGCATTGTATCAGCCAAGCAGTCCTGATGCCAGCAGCAGTACAGCATATTATTCTACTGTGGGGGTGGCCTGTATGCTGTGAATAAATCCCTAAAAGTTGCTGAATCCTACTTCCTTTTACCTAAACGCAGGCTAAAAATATAACCTAATTGTCCTCTATTTTGTAATTGGCCTAGTTAACTAGCTGCAACACACAGGCTACATATCACTTCTCTCCACAAAAGTATGATCTTTGCTCAGAGCAGAGAGGCTTCTGTCTGGTCCGTTCCTGAAGCGTTATGTCTACGCAACAGTAGACATTATGCATAGAGCACGTCTTTGTCTATTAATAAAAAAACTACTGAAACTTTGCTCACCTTGAGAAATAAGCTCTTAGGAATGGTCCTTGTTCCTCCAAATTGCCATAGAGTATGGAATAGGATATGAAGTAGAATATGACTGCATTGCAACTACTTACCCCCAAACAAACAAAATGATAAAAAAACCACTACCACCACCACCACCATCACTACAACAACACTGGACAAAAAGGAGTTACTTACATTGAGTGAGGATCCCTGTTAAGGCATTTTTGAAACTCTCCTTGGCTTGCTCCATTTCTTGCTCGTGAGCTGCCTTTTCATTCATGAGCCGGCGGACGTGGCTGTTGGCCGACTGCACCATCGAATAAAACTGGTTTGCAGAGCGACGATTCACCTCGCCTCGCTCAATCCAGGTAAGCAGCACCGTGATGGCCTCTGAAAACTTGCTATCATCTAGAACAATCAAAGCACAGGTTTTAAATTGCAGGCATAAATATCCTGCCAAGAACACATTTTCTGCTCCGTGTCACATTAAAATCATCATAAATCCTGCTTGCAGTATATCATTTTGGGCAACTTTTGGGTCCTTTGTTCTATCAGATGTAGGAAGCCAATACTGCCACATGAAGCTACATAAATCTTCCTTCAGGACTTGTCTTCTGCTTATTTTAATAGCTTTCTCACAACAAAAAGCAACCCCTCCTTCCCTGTGGCCTGACTCCTTGCTTTCACGACGTCTCCCTTAAGCCGTTCAGTGATATGGAATGACCTTACAGTGGCAGTGAGAAGTCCTCTGTGTTACTGGACCCACTGAGGAAATGAAATGTGTCCACGTTAATCTGCTCAGCTGAAAGCTCAGTCTCGGGCTTTTGTCAACAGATTTCACTAACATCACATTCTTAATTAATGAACAATGACGAGGCTGAACAATTCCTCCTCAAAGCACTGATTAATTACAAGGAACTGCTTTGAACAGATGATGTGTCTGTATTTGTTTTGTATTTTGCATTTGCCTGTGTTTTGTTTTACATATTTTTTTTAAAGGAGTCCAGACGAATCCAGGCAAACACCTGGATTACAGCTTTATGTTTACCATTCAGGTAACTAAAGTTATATTTCTCTGCAGAAAGATCGCCAAAACTGGTAGCTAGATTTTGTGCACTCCTTCCCCAAGTAATCTTCTTTCCACTGACAGTGCTCTCAGCTTCCTCAGAAGACTCTTAGTGCAGCATCCATTACACTTCTGGCTTCATCAGGATTAAGAGGACACATTTCTTTTTAAGTCCCATTTACGCTGAACTGCAAGAAAATGTTATTACAACAGAGTGTCTTCCTGTGGAACCATTTTATTCTATAAAACTTCCATTTCCCAACAAATCATTTTAAACATCTCATCTAGTCCTTGACGGTTAGATTTCTTTATATATATTTTAGATGGTAGGTAAACCTTTCTATAGGAGAAGGTATACAGTTATGGAGGGGAGAAGTAGTATAGTTATAACCAAAAGACACTTAAAATGAAAATTGGAAAATATTAAACCTAACCAACTGTGTTACAGGATACAGAAATGTGGGGCATAGTTTATAAGACTCTGCTTTCCATGTGCAAAGAATAATGACATACTAATACTTAAGTGATGATTTGGGCTTTTATTCTGAATCAGTAATCACTTCCCTAAAAGGCGAGGAGCCTAAAGTACAGAGAGGACAAATGACATGCTCTGTGCCCACAGCCTGTGAAGACTAGATTTTACATTGCCTGATCTTTAGCCTTCAGCTACAGCAATAGGATTTGCGCTCCGCTGCTGGATAGGCATGTTCACCCAAGATCCCCGCAAAAATTTGCAAAATAAGAGCATCATAACACCCTCCCTTTGTATGATGACGTATCTGTTGTAACTTTACATTAACATGTGATTCATCATCATCATTCATTAAGTAATTGTCTCTGGGGAGGAAGAGTCAGTCAGGCATATTTTCTTTCCATATTGTCCCCTTGGATTAGACTCTACATCCTAGCTTTGCTGGATACATACGCGGCAGGTATGTATTAAGTGGCTCTGATGAATGAGGTTGGCTGAATATGGGCCTCAGAAAAGCCAAATGTAAAGAAGGCTCAGGCAAAGCCTCTTCATTGCAAGAAAACACCAGGATAAGGCTTTCCATGCTTGGGTAAAATCTTCAGCCTGCGAAATACATGGGAGCTGGATGTCACAGATCCAATACAGCCAAGAACTCACCCCTGGAACATAATGTTTGTTATAATTACAGTAGTCAATAAGAATAACCTGTAATGGCTTCTGGCAATGTTAGCATGCAATTTCCAATAGTCTGTACAGTCAGGTCACCCTGCGGATGGCACTAGCCTGTTAACACGAAAGATGCGGCTGATTCTGAGTAGAGAGTAACTACAGCTGAATGTTCCTCTTTTTTCCTTGTAGACATTATTATCCATATCATCACACATAATTTATCACCCAACACTGAAGTACCATTTAGGGTAAATGATCCCATTCAGTCTAGGTCAAGACATGAACAGCAAAGTCGGGAGAAATGATACACAGAAGGACCTCTGAAGAGGTACACTGTGACCGGTGAAGAAACAGCGTGCAGAACTGAGCAAAAATGTTCCATGGAAATGCATGAGGAAAATCAGTTGCACAGAACCATTATCCCTTTTTCTTGCTTTAATGTCTCTCCAGTACACAGACCTATGTTGTTTTGCTATAGAGTCTATATGAAATGAAAACACCCCTCCTTTTGTTTTGTTTTGATCAGGCACAGTTGGTGTCTGTGAGGGATGTTCATAAACATGCCATCCTTCTGCCACACAGATTCAACCCATTTAAAAGGACATGCTGAAAAGCTGTTTTCAACATACTGTACTGCTGGGGAGCTGCAGAGGTCTGTGGGCCTGTTGTAGTTAATTCATGGCTCCGTACTAGCAGGAAAAAATCCTTCCATTGGTAAACATCAGCATCTTCATTGATTACATAATTAGAAGATACATTAAAAAATGCTAGAGGGTAATATATGCACAACAGGAGCACATTAGTAAATAACATCTTTTCTCTACAGTTTTAAAATTTCCTTATTTCACCTTCATTTCTAACTTTTCTATTCTTGAGCTGACTACTCAGTGACTGGCATAAGGTAACTCACCGTGAATTAATTTTCTTTATCCAGAATGCAGTGACTCTTTCTGAGCAATCAGAGGTTCACTTAGAAAATCAGATTTTTATACCGGATTGTTAATTTATTTTTTACTTAGTAGATAAATAGTAGAAGAAATGCAGCAATGGAATCTAATTTAAGCAGAGCATGAACTGCCTTATGATTGCAGCCATTCATTAAAAAAATAAAACAAACCTCCTAATTCTGTTCAAAATTATTCCCTTGCGGTAGGATGCACATAAATATACACTGTTTAAAAACATACTCTTAAAATAAATTCCTTTATATAAGACATGCTCCTGTATGTAATTGTGCTTTTAAAATGAGCACATGGCAAATTATTTCTCACACTTAAAGCTTTTTTCTCCTCCAAGTTACAGCATGTTTTAAGCAAATAAGGTAGGATTCATCTCTTTTCTGTCAACATCTGATTTAGTAACCCCAGGGTCCTGGTACAGTCAATGGAAAGAGATGGACACTTGTCAGACAGGCTTTGTCAGTCCTGTTTTAGCTGTCTATTTGAGGGTGAGGTGAACTGTGCCCCAGAAGTGCCTGCTTCTGGGAGCCTGGGATGACCTCCTCAGGTATAGACATCTCTGCAACAGACGTCTACATTTGGTCAGAGTATTCCCAACTGTTACACAAGTGCACCAGTTACAGAACACCTACACAGCGTTTGTGTACTTATGTTGGGTTTTCAGTTATACTGGAAGCTGAGATGCACGCTATGTTGCTTTAATATTACCCATCTTCTGAGGATGGCTTGCTGGGTGTCTGTTGACAGAGTGTTCCAGGTGCTGCTGCCAGACTCGATCACAGGCCTCTAGAGATAGAATATTTCAAACTCCTCTTGTATCAACTGAAGATATTTGGCACTTAAATCCTAGCTCACAACTTAGAGGAAATGAAATATAAAGAAAAGAAAATGCATCCCTAGAGCTGTCTGGGAAATTGTCAACAGGGATATTTCTATGAAAAAAAGGAATAATTGTTGACAAATGTTTTACATTTTTCTGCTTGTAATTTGACCACCTCTAAGCAATCTCAACCGGCACAAACTACTTAATAGAAAAATCAATGACAAGAACTGCTACAAAATAGTATACTGGGAAAAAGTGTTGGAAACAGAGGTTTTGCTCTCAGTTTATGGAGTTTCCCTGGTGTAACACAGGGCAGAATTCAGCTCAGAGTAATCTGAAATGTTGTGACTATTTATGTCTCAATGTTAAGCACCTCCATAAAGTGCTTTCACAACTTTGGTGACAGTTTCTAGGGCCTTAGACATTAGGAAGGAGATAGACTAATCCATTACTCTGAAGGCGGGCATTCAAACACTCTTATTACTATCATTTTTACATTTATAGACATATTTCAAATATAGCTAACTTTATATTTCTGTATTTCGAGAGTGACGTTGTTTGTTGGACTTCTAGCTAGGACAAAATCAAACACTGGGCTACAGTTGCTTTTAGCCTTGTTGGTATCTTTCCAACCCTGGGCATTCTCAAATGTTTGAAAAGTATCTGAGATAACTCACACAACACTTGGAGCCTGTCTAAATCACAGCAATCCTTTTGTGTTGTCCTATGGGCCATGGTGTTGTCAGCACATGCTATCTCTTGTCCCTCATCTTGCTCCCCTGATGCAATCTCCTAGGCTTGCAAGGAGATGCTGGAAAGACAGAGATGTTGCTATTTATCCTAATGACTACACCTAAAAAGCTCCTGTGCTGGCTGCGTATGTTTTGGGTTGCATTAATGATCTTATTTTTCTCTGGCCCTTCTGTAACATGGGAAGGGGCAGGACTGCCCTTATGCTAAGCTCTGCCCTGACCAGTAGAAATCCAGTTAACAAAACCCCCTTGAAGGTATTCTTGTGAGCACTGAGAATGACTGTGCTGCAGGGCATATAGAGAGGGGACAAGAGTCATGGGATACGTCCCAGCTATTTGCCTCTGATTGACAGCCTGTCCCTGTCAGCTCTAGCTGTGCCATAGGATGATGACGTGCGCCCTGCCTCACTCTCACCTGCTCAGCACTACCCCTTTCCTCCCAGTTACACTGCCCTCGGGTCTGCCTGGAGCTGCTCGCCTGATCACGCTCCAGTTCCAGTTTGTCAAACTGGGCCCAGCCCAGCTATTACAGGAAAGTGGTAGCGGCCAGTTCAGGATGCAAACTTCTTCACTCCATACAACTGCAGCCAGTGGAGGAGGTACGGCCAAGGTTACTGTTAATCTGACTTCTGATTTAATAACTCATTATGCTATAACTAAGATTTCT